GACTGCGCCCATTTCTGCACCTGAACGCATCACGACAGCCTCATGTTTAGTAGGGGTGGGACGGTTCACAAAATCCACAGTTCGGTTCAATTCACAGTTTCGTGGTCACGGTTTTCGGTTCGGTATATGTTGATTGTTAGGAAAATCTATTTTGTCTTGTATAGTCAGGTTAAAACTGAAAAAAAAAAGCAGTCTGACATTTGATACATTATTGTGACAGTCTGAGGTTAAAAGTAGGTGAGATTCTGGCATTGCAAGAGAGGAAACAGTGCTAATTCCAGCATGCAAAATGCAAAGTGTCCCATACAGCAGAACTAGAAACTGCTGTTGGCACGTTGGATTTTTATCGGCTACGCTGCTTAGCTTCTTCTTCTTGTTTCCCACTGGAGGTTGGCTTTGGGCGCAGTAGCGCCCCCTTCTGCTCTGGAGTGTAAACGCTTCCCTCTGAGAAAAAGCAGCAGCATGAACCGAACGCAACACACGCCAACCGAACCGAGACAGTCGAACTGAACGGTTCGGACGGTTTTCAGAAACCGTCCCATCCCTAATGTTTAGGGTCTCAGAAGCAAGGGGCAGCACACTAAGTTCAGGGTAGGGTTGTCAAAAGTATCAATACTCAAAAAAGTATCGATACTAAAATGTTCTATCTGGATACGATACTCATTTTCGAAAGTATCTATACCCCCTCCTTCTCTCTGATTTATTGATGTATTTATTTACGTTGTTTATGATCATTAACAAGACGTTAGCCTTGCTAGCTGTGGCTAATGGCTAATAATGACATACTACCATTAATCAAGTACATATCCAACTCCGCCCACATCCAAGTTGGCCATTTTGATTACATCACCAATAGGAAGATCCCAGGCAAGAAAATCGTAATTGCTTTATGGCAATATAGACATTAATTTAAATAGTGAAATGAATCTTGCAAACACTGAATTAAACTCTATGCATAATATTATGTTTGTTTGTACAATAAGTCCAAACAAGTTTAACCCAAAAATATTTATTTCTCACAATTATGAAGGGTGGTGGGTTAAGATTAGGGTCATTAATGTGGGCCACCAGTCACGATAACATCAGTAACAGGTCTGTTTGAAATGAAAGACACAATTCAGTTCAATTTTGGGGTCTTTGTTTTTATCCTCGAAAATGGTATAGAGTATCGAGTATTTTCCTGAGTATCGGTATCGAGTTGAAAATTGTAGTATCGTGACAACCCTATCTTGAAGACGAGTATCTACTGTAACAGAGAGAGGAGGAGGAGGCACAGCCAGAGAGTTTAACCCAAAAGTATCATTATAAAGGAATAATACGAATCTAAAATGAATAATACAATCAGTCATTTACGTGGATTAAGTTGTAGCATGCTATGCTAAAGTGATAATAATAATTATAGCCCAATTCTAACAGCGGCCAGCAGGGGGCGCCGTCTGACCACAGGAACTGGACCCAGAGCCGGAAAAGCTGCTGTTTGTCCCCTTAAAAAAACCCGTAAAGAACAACTCAGCATGATTTCTCTGTGCTTTATGTTTGTGTCCTGACCCAAAGAGTCCGGATGGATGAATGAATAGGAGGTCAGAGGCTTAAAGGGGTCCAGACGCCCAGAAAAACCAGCTCACTGCTCCCTTTAGCAATATTCATTGATGTTTCTTTTGTAATAACTCTGTGTAATAATATGTATATATGCAGTGGGGGAAATAAGTATTTGACCCCTTGCTGCTTTTGCAGGTTTGCCCACTTACAAAGAATGCTTATTTTTCCTCATCAGATATATTGTGACAACCCTAGTTCAGGGATCACAGATTTGATTCACAGACCCCACCTTTCCGTCCTGGCCGAGCTCGGCCTCGTCCAGCTGGCTCATCCCTTTGGTTTTTGGCTTCCAGCTGCAGGAGGATCAGGCAGGGCTCCAGAGTCCGTCACCCGACTGACAAAACTACACAAACAAACACAGGCTTACAGTGGGGGAAATAAGTATTTGACCCCTTGCTGATTTTGCAGGTTTGCCCACTTACAAAGAATGCTTGTTTTTCCTCATCAGATGGTTATCAATTTTTATAAATTCATGTGATGTGATTTTCTGGAATTTTCTTTGGGATTCTGTCTTTCACTGTTAGAATGTACATATCAATTAAATTAAATTCAATTTTATTTATATAGCGCCACATCACAACAACAGTTGTCTCACAGCTTTCCAAACAGAGCAGGTCAGACCCTACTCTGAAGTTAACTACAGAAACCCAACAATTCCCACCATGAGCAAGCACTAGGCGACACAGGCAAGGAAAAACTTCCTTTTAACAGGCAGAAACCTTGAGCAGAACCATGGCTCAGGGTGGGCGGCCATCTGCCTCATTCATATGATTAAAGTTATAGATCGTTGCATTCTTTGTAAGTGGGCAAACCTGCAAAATCAGCAAGGGGTCAAATACTTATTTCCCCCACTGTATGTCACAACTGGATCCCTCCGGTCATCAATGGATTGTCGTCTAGCTCAATAATTCACAACACTGCAAAGATAAGATCAGTAACGTTCTCCTTCCTTCTGCTCAGTCACCGGGAACATTATCATGACTTTGACTTATCTATTTACAATATTTAGACGTAGTTCCACTCTGTTCAGTTTAATCAAAGCATTCCAAACATGTAATAAAACTACGGTTTATTACATTTCTCCTCCACTTCTGGCAACTTTTAATTCTCTCTTTGCTAAACATGAAAACTGATGCTAGCCTACAAAGTGCTTAGTACCTCTACCCCCCACAGCTCCTATCCTAACCCTAACCCGTACCTC